GGGGCGACAGGCTTTGCTGCCGCCGCCGCCCTGGGCAAATGCTGTAGCCGGAGGCGGGCGCTGTTGCGGCCGCGTCCAGCAAACGCGGGCCCTTCGCATGGTGCCTTGCTTTACGCCGGGCCGGCTTCTCGCTCCCTCCGCGCGCGCTTTCCCCGCGCCGCTCTGCCGCTTCCGATGGCTTGAAATTGCTGGCCAGGAGCGCTCCCACTTTTAAATCTCCCGGATCTGGGGAAGGCGGTGACTGGAGGGCTCCGGGGAGCGAGATCAGCCCCCGCCCCGCCCCGCGCAGCCCTCCTTGCGCCGCCCGCCCACGTGCGTCCTTTGGGGGTGACTCGGAGAGCAGCCAAGGCCGGGAGGCGGGCGGTCGCTGCTCCGCAGGTTGCCCCGCAAGAGGGCAACCCTTCCAGCAGAACGTGTTGCCGAGGCACCTTGGAAGAGCGAGGCGTGGGTGCAAACGCGCGCGTGGGGCTCGCCCCGTGGATCTTCCCTTCTCCATCTTCCTGCTCCACAGGCAGAGGTGGCAGAGTCCGAAGGTGACACTAGGAAAGGGAAAGTGTGCGCCTTTATGTAATGATTTCCCCGTATTTTTTAAAAAAAAATCGTGGAAAGGAGAAAAAATAAAAAAGCTTAAGGAGAATAGTTCTTTGTTCTGTGCTAGCTTTCTACTTGCAGGGAGGTGTCTTTCTCGTATGAGAGCGTTTAAAATGTTCCGTTTCCTTTCACAGCATTCTTCAATGTTACGGGAAGTTATTGCCTGATTTTGCAGCAACTGTAGATCAGCGGGAGAATTATAGTAAGAAAACAGGCCACTGTATAGTAAGATACAGGCTGAATATTCCTCTGTAGTAATTTCCTCTCATATTTATTCATTCATTACTGTAGGGTGAATTTCATGCCCTACACACACTTCCATAGAATGGGTTATAATAGCCAATACCATAGAAAACAGCAAAGCAATCACATGTCAAACCTTTAATTGTATAAGGCAATTCCAGCAGATAAAAACACAACATTACCCCTAACATAGCATAAAAGCTGAGCAGAGGGGGATAAATGTCTTCAGGGTTTTCCAGAAAAGTGAGTGTTCTACGAGAGAGATCCTAGGCCATCTAGTATGCTGGCTGGGGAGTTGTGGGAGTTGAAGTCCACACAGCTTAAAGCTGCCAAGGTTGAGAAACACGGGCCTAAGCGGTCCTCTTCTCGATGCACTTCTTTTCTTTGCATGGCTTTTTTTAATGAGGTACACAAAAATGTGTTAGTCTTCTATAATCTGAAGGACATTGCCTCTACAATGGGACGATTGGAAAACAGATGACTGAATTTTCCTGGCCATATTCCCACATCCACAGGGTGAGCAACAATATGTCCATTGGTCCATGACATTGTAAAATATTATCAACAGGATGAAGTCAGGGGCACCTTCACACATTCAACGTATATGGATTTTTCATGGCACCACAGATCCTGAATTCTTGGCTCCTATTAGTATTAAGAGGCTCTTCACAGGCTGCCATATCCATGTAGCAACCCTCCCCTTGCTGATGTTAATGGAGGAGGGGGAAAGGAAAAACAGTGAACATGGAGTTTCACCTGCCTGTTATTTTTCCTGAAGGGGACAAAGAACATATTTGGGAAGGCAAGAGACTAGAGTGTAACTTGAGAAAATGTTGGGATTCTGGGCTTCCTCGTGACCCATCTCATGGTTGCTGTTATACCTCCTAAAGAATCATCTTATGATGTCCAATCTAGTATTAGGGAAATCATTTTAAAACAGAAAGTACCATCATTTAGTCACAGAACACATATAGAAAAAGAAAAGTTCCAGTTTCCATAGTAAATTTCACCTAAATAAGGAGTTAAGGTAGAGAATGGAAGATCATTGCTTGAGCTCTTCCAAGTAGATAGGTAAAGTTTGAATCAATATTACATCATTTCACCATTTCAGAATTGTCATGGCTTCCAAGTCCAATGTAAACACAAGCAGAAAGGGTTTGGTGACAGGGGTGCTGAAGAAACACGGGGCCTGAACCTGACCAGTGAATGAGACAGCCAGCCCCAGGCTGAGATGGCCAGGACCAAGCTTGCATCATTCAAGAGCCCAGATACTGCTCTGCTGTTTCCACAGTCTGCTTCATGGTTCTTAGGCTGATTCACTCAGATTTGGGCATTGCAATTTATCATCACCTGGTTAGTCAGTATTGATCATTTTCTGAGAAAGATAAAACACTGTGCTGATCAAGTATGCATCCTGTATGCATTCCCAATATTAATTACTTTGCTGCACTTAAACATAAGTTAACATCTCGGCCTTAACAAGTAACAATCATGCTGTGGCCTGACGCTCTGCTGCTATTTCATATTATCAACTTCAACCTGACAACATTGGAATCAAGTGCATTTCTAAATTTCTGATATTCTGCTTTTCTCCAACTATTGCCACCAGACCTATTCCCCATACCAACCATTTTTCAGTAAAGGCAGTGTGCCTCTGCTCGCCTTTGAGATCTAGTTTCAATCAAGTTCATGGCTCTGGTGCTTAGCAGCCACACTAACGTTCCATGGGGGAGATAAAGGCATGTGCTTTTGTATCTGGCTGGGTTTAATTGCTTCATGCAATTAATTTACAGATCTTGCAGGAATAAACACATCCTTATTAAAAGGATATTTCCAGTTTTAGATGGCTCATTTTGAATACTGATCTTTTGTGGCTTTAAACAGACATAATCATGGGAGATTCTGACATTAATCTTGTTTTCAGATCTATGTTTCCTTCTGAACATTGGTAGTATAATCTTGGGGGATCGGGGGGACACACAACAGGGTTGGGGTTTGCTGCAGCTTTTCTGTGCTTCATCTTTAAGGGAAGCAAAATATAGACAGTACATTGCAAGATGTGACATAGACTTGGCTTTTCTTGTGTCCCAGTTGAGATGTAACAACCCAGCAGACATACATTATGTGGCAATTTCTTGATGCATCTGCCTCCCACGCTACCCTCTGTAGATGCTTATGTAGAAGCATATATACTTCTACAAGACTCCTATTTCCTACTTACCTAAGATTCTCATTCCCTACCCCTGTGCCTACCTCACATGACATAGTTCCTAAATTTACTAGTTTATAAAATATTTACTAGCCCATATGGCTAAACTTGCCTATGTTAGTTAAATCTTTCTGGTACCTGGAGATAGTCTGAAATAAAATAATAACTTGCCCTGTATTTGTATAAAGTTACTCCAGGTACTGGAGTAAGGAACTGGTAGAACCCACACAAAGTCCAGTTGGTGGCATTTCCATCCACATATTTTTATTACTGAGAAGATTGAATCAAGAATAAATGATCAACATGGCCTAATTACTGTACATTGATTCTCAGGTCATTAAGGATATGTGTTCAGTACTGCTAAACCATGGCCACTTTTCAGGAGAAAAAACTCTCTATATTGTTGTTGCTGGGTGGGGAATTCTGGGAGTTGAAGTCTACACATCTTAAAGTTGCCAAGGTTGAAAAACACTGGTCTAAAGGATGAACACATAGTACTAGATGAAGAGCACAATGCCTTGCTTTCCAACTTAATAAATAAGGATTAAAAAAAAATTGAATCATAAAGGTTGAAGGTGGGAAGCCACATGGATGTTTCATGAATGACAACAGCATCTGGCTTATCATGTTTCTCTGCCCTTTGAAAGATGCTTTGTATTAATTTCCTGAACTCTAGTACCCACTGAACTGTCACCGATGGGGGCAAATGCTTCTTGGCCTTGATTTTGCCCTACAGTATTTGTTTCTATCCATTGACAAGGCAGACACAACTCATTACTTCAAGAGTTCGGGTTTCATGGTAGTTCTCAGGGAAGTGAAGCCTTGAAATGCCATGACCTTTTCTAGGAAACGAAAAAATGCCACTAAAATGGGGAGGGTGTGTAAGAGAATGGGATGAGGAAAATTCTCAAATACGCTTTTCCATTTTTTGAAAAACTACAGAAAGACTATTCAGCATGGGAATATATTTTGATAGGGGTGCTAGTGCAGATACTACAAATTGATAGGTTTGGGGAAACCACTGAATACTTCACTTCTAACTAAATTTTGGACAGTATTCCCTTTTCTATACTGAAAAGAAAACATTATACAGTCACAGAATTCTTAGTCTGAATTCCAGCTGAAGGCATTTATGTGATATGCATAAAGTGTAACAAGTGGTGGAATTATTAACCTCAAACTATTATTATCAACATGGAAACTAAGAAATTAACTCTATGCACATTTGCCTGGATTATCAAGTTCATAAGGACAACTCTGGAATTAAAAAGTGGTTTTTGTTTTACCTCCTAAACTGAGGAAATAGTAATAGGAGTAAACTAAGAGAAATAAAGTCTAATGCTTTACAGAAGAATGTCTTTATATCGGCAGAAATTCATTTAATAAAGGAGTTTATAAGGATTCTTTGTTAGACATAGCCCACAAATCAAATATCACTCTGTATCTCTAAACCAAGAGTTGGAGCAGGTTTTCCCTTGTTTTTTTTCTCCCGTTCCACATTTTGCTAGTATTAACAGAACAGATCCTCTATTATACCTCAAAAAGTTAGGAAATTGCACCTCTGAGCAAGAGCAATGGAAGCTACCAAAAAAAAAGCTCGATGGAGATGTGCAGCCAATGGTCATAGATTATCCACCACTGCTATGGATGGATTTCAGCCTGTCCCCATAACACAATTCTTAATGTCTGAAGCAGTTGAGATGGCCTATAATTCATAAAAGTATATAACATCTGATTAGCCTTAAGGTTAAACCTTTTGATATATTTTTTTTTTTATGAATGTCCCAAACATATTGCAAACAACTTGCATAATGTGAACTTTGAGTCTGCAACTAGTTACAAAGATAACAAAAACAACCTTATGGGTCCCAAACTGCGCATAAGTCTTTATTAATATATAGGCAGCAGTGCCTCAAATGATATTTCATCTTTCAAGAAATACTTTGCTTTAGAGCAGTGATTCTCAACCTTT